GTCTTTCAGGTTTTGAGAGTCAAAGTTACCATCTGGTTACTAACAGGAAAGTTAGCTTCCATCAGCTCCTCTTGTCCCTGTTAATCTTCAAAGGATGAGGCGGGCAAAATTTTATAGTTTTGTTAATGTCAACGAATCCCATGAACCAAATCCGATAATGAATTGATCCTACAAACAAGTAGGTCCATGACTAATAATTGTTTTATCAATGACTCTGCGAATTCTTTTCACAGCTAGTTGATTAATGGTTTGATTTAGAATAGGTCAGAAAATGGTTTTCAAAAAATGCCGTAATTAAACCAAGTTGATATCTTCAAATTGCATGTTTTGTCCATCAAAAATCCAGAACCTAAAGTTAATCAATTTAATATTAACTATTAACTAACCTCTGTCCACCTGTAAACGCGCAGGTGGGTCCAGAGCATAACCGGATCAAAGTGGCCTGTGGACAGACATGTCCTGGTTTCTCTGTAGTGTCCGAGGGTTTTTGGAGTTTCAGTGGACCCAAAGATTGCTATGGACCCGAGTACAGACTAGCTAGAGAGAGTAGATTAAGTGTACTTCTCTGTTTATTCTCTTTTCAAAATAATTGTAACTCAATTATTTGCTCAACCCCTCAGTCTGTTTTTATTTTCCATTTAACTCTTTTAACCCTGATTGTACACTGCACTGTAACTTTTATTACTTTTTTTAATGTGTATTTTTTCAATTTCCCTATGTTGCTTTTAAACTTTTTTATATTTCCCTGTTGCTTTTATGTTTTATGTAAAGCATTTTGAATTACCTTGTTGTTGAAATGTGCTATACAAATAAACTTGCCTTGCCTTGCCTATTATTGGGAAGTTTTTGGCACTTTTAGCATAAAATGTGCTTTTGACTACTGGATTCATCTGTACTAGCAAGTATTGCCTGTGTAGCCCAAGGCTGATGTAGCTTATTCGTCTCTGCCATAGAACTCCATTGTTGTTTAACTATTAAAAACCAAGCGGGAAGCTTCCGGTCTACAATATGAAGCTGATGCGGAAGTCCCTGAAACCTGCATTCTATTGAAAATCCAGCAGGGGGCGACTCTTCTGGTTGCAAAAAGAAGTCCGGTTCCATTACAAATAATGGTGAAATGAGGCTACTTCTCAGCTGAATAATTACCTCAGTAAACACTTTCCTGATGAGTTTATGGTCTCAGTTGCTAGTTTCAAGTCTTCTTCAATCCAAAATGATGTTCATTTAGTAAATTATGGTCCCATTTATTGTAAAATAGATGATTGACAAGTCGTTACAGTGGCGACCTGTCAATCAGGCTAGAGCCGACTCGTACCCTCAGCACTGTGTAAATTTAACCAGCACCACTGAAAAAGCTTATTAGGAGTTGGCTGTTCACTTTCTCTGTTGAGTAAATTTAGTTTTAAGACTGCTGTTTGCTAGACAAAGTTATCAGCCCTATTAAAATGACAGTTAACGTGAGTTACAGTTGCACCTAGCTAAGCAAGATAAATAGCTCCGCACACGGCCGTTAGCTCCGCCGTATCGTCACTTCTGGGCACTTCCTGGTTGCAAAAACTCAACATGGCAGCGCCCTATCGGCCAAACTCGAGGCTTCAAAGCGGCAGTCTACAAACCAACAGGTGACGTCACAATGACTACGTCCATTTCTTATATACAGTCTATGTTAAAAACACATAAGTAAGCCCCACTGTTGCACTGGCTGACATGTGCCTTCATTACTGTGAACATGGGCAGTGTCAGTTCCACAGTTCTCAGTAAATACTAACTAGCAAACAAAATGTGCATGTGTGTAATCCATGGGTGAAAACAGTCCTCTTGAATTCAATATTAACTCCTGTTTGACTAATATTTGCCACAAACCACACTGCAGTAATTAATAAATTAACTTATTTTTGACCAGTTTTAGTAGGTAACAAAGGTGCTCGGGTCGAAAAACTACAGACAAGGACGGTAATTTAGAAAGTGTTTAAGACTAATGCATTGTTGGTTTTGTTCTTTTCATGGGATAAGCAAATAAGCAGAAAAATATAGAAATACACCGACCTTTAATATTCTCTAGTGCTTATTTACATGTTAAGTGAACATCTTGGTAGTTGTCATTGGTCAGGAGGATCATCATACAATCTACTGTTGCATCCACCTGAAGATCTAAATGTAAACATTTAGTCTTACAGTTCACTATACCACCACAAAAGAAACACACACTATCAGCCCCCTGACTATGATCAACTGCTGCTGTAATACTGCTCCACTCTAAATGCTTTTTGTTATATAATCGCCCTATTTATTTTATGTTTATATTGTTGCACCTGCAATGGAGTACTTTCAAATGTCCTTTACTTGAATCACGTAGGCACACATTTAAAAACCAGATACTCTCAGCCTTTTGTTGAGACAGAATAACCTTATTTCACTCAACTGAATTATCTCTAAAATATCTAATAATGAAATCCAGGAGGTACAGAAAACTGGATGTATATGCTCATTTTGAATAAGAGTTACCTCTTTCCTCTTTGCAATTTCTTCTAGCTTTCCTCGCCACAATGCCTTCCTATCTCTCTCGCTCTCTCATACTCTCTCTCTCTCTCTCCATCCTTACCCCTCCTCTCTTCATCCAACTCTATTGCACTCTTTTCATTGCCCAGCTCACGTATTGAATCTGCCTGATGAAAACAGATCTCACTGCAGCACCACAATAGAATGGCTGATGCAGGAAAGATGAACCCTAATGGATTTTTTTTTCAATGTGCTCAAGATTGAATATAAGGCCTGACCTCCAGATGTAGTGGATCCATTTCAACAGCAGAGATATTGTTTATAGTGAGGGCACAGAAACACATACAGTACAACGTCAACAGCAGCCACAGAAAAATCCCTTTTGTTTCTACATATAGCACTCAAACACTGTACTTTAAATTTGAAACTAAAATTAGAATTAACCCTTGTTATTTATCTATCCATGTCAAGTGAGGTATTCATTATGATAGCATCTCATGTTTGAACTGCAGAGTTTGCTTAATTACTCTGCTCAGCAGACTGTGTCAAGGTGAGGCACCAATTTAATAGACACTCCATTCTCAGCACAAATGAACCTCTGCTACGGTTTGGTAGTTTCGCCAGGCAGGCTATTTGATTTAGAAATTTCAGAGTTTGCTTTATATGCTGCTCTTTCGCAGTGAAATTGAAGTCGAGCCCTGAAAAGACTTCCCACGTGTTCAAGGAGCTTCTGTCAGAACCAGTTAGAAATATCAAGGTTTGGAAGATTATAGCACTTTTTAAAAATCACTGACACATTTATATTAAATTTTGTGGTGTCATTTGTAATTTCTCTTGGCTTATTGTTGACTTATTTGCTTCTAAATGGCCCTGAATATAAACTTAATTTGGACAATATACCGCATTTAAAATATGTGCTGCACTTATCTTTGTGTTTCCACTTTAAAAACCAAAACACCCCTTAAACCACCAGGCCTTATCAGGTTATCAGAATAGCAACCACCAGCAGTTACCAGCATATTTTGATATTTTGAACATGTGTTCTGATTATATGTTCATCGTGTGTCATTTCTAACATTTAAAATCTTGTGCATTTTTACCACATAACCTGCAGTCTTTAATCTATTAGACCACAGAGTGTGGCTCTCTGTAGCAGTAACAAATGCCCTGACTGCCAAGAGAAAGTCTGGCCAATCAACCACTGTCTCCACAGTAAAGGTCATGACCAAAATGTGAAATGAATATGAAGATAAATGACACATGAACCCATTACCTACGGGGAATATTCCAACATTATATATAATATATAGTATGTTTATATGTCAGCTCTTTATCAAGCCAAATTTTGGCTATATGCTGACTGTTGTTTATCCTTATATCTTTTGTTTACGATGAACATTACAATACATTATGCATGACCTTGATATGCATCTCTATGTATTTAATGTATACTGTATATAATAGATCCTCTTTTTTTCATTAACATACACAACTTGTCATTTCTGGTGATGCCTCAGACAGAAAACAAACAACATAAAACATGTGTCCTACATTATGAACTGCATACTATCTATTATATTACCAGAAAGACACTGCTGCCAAGTAGCTTCCTGTGTCTGTTTATGATATCTAAAAAAGACAACGCCATGATGAACTCTACCCATTTATTCAGCTTATCTTTTTCTTGCCATGTAGGGTTATATGTATACTACTAAGAGAGACTGCTAACTAGAGAGCCTTTGCTTATTGCAGCTTATACGCGTAAGCCATCCACATATAATTTATTGTGATAGAAACCTGCTCTGTTTCCTGCAGTTCTCAAGAAAGCAATTATGGTTTGGAGATGCTAATTTGTGGAGGAGCATTTCTGTGTGGAGCTGAGGCAGTAATCAGCGTGTATTCATGTTTGAAGGCTTGACAGATTGACCGATGCATACTGTCAAGGTAGATATGATGCTGATGGATTTACCCACAATCCTTTTCTCCATGCATCACAGCTGACATAGCAACCACTAAAGAGTCATTCAGTTCCACCACTTAGCCAACCTTCTTCTTGTTTTGAAAATTTACATTTAGCTTATAAGGTTGTAATCCATTTCATATTTGAAAGCTGTTTTAACTGGCTGTTTTTTATGTATATGTTGCTATATTAAAAAAGCTTCACTCTAACACTAACTTAAAGGTCAAATTTGAGGACATTGGAGGATTAATAATTTGTCCATATGTCCTGCTGGGTATCTCAGATACAAAAAAACACTTCTTCAAAGTCCTACAGTTTTGGTATGAGCCAGTACAGTTGAAATCACACACCAAAACTAAAAGAGTTTAGTTTAAGTCCAACCCTCTTTCTTCTGAGGCCTCAAACAATTTTCACTATAAGTAGAAGTTTAAATTGTCCCAAACATCTGTAACCATTGCTGAAAATATTTATAGCTTTTTTATAGCTTTCTGGTGTAACGGGGCCCCCCATGAAACGGTGCGGTCCACGTAGAGCTACTTACCGAGGGCATTTGGCTAGAGACGAGGTGGCTGTCCTGTGCCAGCATGTTAGACATCATGAGTGTGGGCAGCTCTGGGTAGGAATACGGATTGATGAGCCCATTGTGTTGCAGCGAGTGGCAGAGGTAGCCTGTAGAGTCGTGCTCCATCAGGTGAAGAAGAGGGGGCTCGGGGTGGTTAGGTGGAGTGATGGGGGGGATCTCGTAGTCCTCGTCCCCGGCTCCATTTCCACTGGCCGTGCCCCCGCCGCTGCCTCCTCCCCCGCCGCCGCCAGTCTGACCTGTGTAGCTCTGAGGGAGAGACACAGAGAGGAAAAAAGTGAGAAAACATGGTTAAAGGAAGTAGTGGATATTGGTAGATAAAACTAAAGGTAAGACATAACAGTTTCTACATAACACTATTCCATATGGGTTCCAGATGTAGACATTCAGTTTACGATAATAGAGTTAGAGAGGAAAAGTTACTAAGGGTTCCAGGGTTCTGCTCATTTCCTGCATCATGCCACATTAGGTAACTGGAACACTTCCAAAGCTTGAATGGGTATGAAACTCTCCCAGATGAATTATTAGTAATTATCATCAAAGACGAGCAACCGCATTACAAAATATTTAGTTCTTTAACAAAAAGTCAAAGCTCCAAGTCTGTGTACAACTCTCAAGGTGCATATCAATAATAAACATCCAATCACCAAACTAAAAATTCAGTTGTATGCTCCTTAAAAGCAAACAAAAGATAAAGAAACCCCCAAAAATCATTATATTCAGCAGTTTAAATCAGTTTGGCAACTATGGTGCAAGCTTTGCTTACAGATACAACACCAAATCACTCTCAAGTTGCTACAGCTCTTATTCATGCCTCTAATTGGCTTCTTCTCCGTAGCAATGGCAGTTTTATGGGTATCACAGTATTCACAATACCAAACTGGTGGGAAATTTTTTTAAAGATAAAGTTGAAATAATTAAAACTAACACCAAGACAGACTAAGGTATTGTTAAATTATCAAGACTTTCTATGTTGTGGAACATGATGGATATTGTTGAAATTACTGAAAGTTTAGAAATGGGAATTTACAATGGGAAAAAAAAACAAGAGGCTCCTGCCATCTGCTTACAAAATTTTACCTCACAGGTGTCTATTAAATACATAAAATAGATCACCTCCAAACTGATCTGGATCACTGAAAGTCGCAGTATAGGACATGCTGCTGTTGCTACTTGCTAACAGTTAAGCTAGCCATACTTTCAAGAGAAGGATATGTTCTTCACCTCCTCCACATGCATGTTTGTATATCTGGACACCTTGTTGGTAATTATTGCTTACCAATATTAGACTGCAGGTTAGCATAGCAACAGTACTTCTGCTTTTACTTCATTACTTCATCACCCTTTGTTGTTGGTAGGCCTACTGACCTTACCGCGAGTAAAACTGACAACAAACCAAAAAAAAATGGATAACTGTTACAGCCATTATGGTGTCCCAACATAGAAAACAAGACTCCTCATCCATTATTTTTATATATCAGGACAGCTTGATGTGTATTATCACTTACAGAGTGTTAGATGGAAAAAAATAATGATACTTTGAAAATAGACGCCTTGTGGTTCTCAATTTCTTGCTGAGGACTCCATGATAAACATTTATCTGGCAGACTACCCCTTACTGACAGCTGCACTAGCTAACAGTTGGTTGATCAGTGACAAAATAAATGTAAAACTCAGTGGACTAGATTCACTGACCACTACATCACTAGATTGGTCACTACATTTAGAGCTGTAGTCAAACAGATGATTCATTAAAACCCATTTCTGCTAAGTAACCTACAACATTTAAGGCTGCTTTGAATGCACTGGAAGCATTCATTCTTAAATAACATAACTATACAAATAAAAAACAAATAACCATTGATTTATAAATATGTTAAAATTTTCTTTGCCAAGGAATTCATTTCCTTGCCATTCCACAAAAAGCTTTGTAAACTGTTTAAATTCTAATCTGTCATTTTGTTAGAACAGGTGTAATTTTGTTTCAAATGTTAAACGTCTCATTTTGGAACAAAAACTCAATGCTCAGTGATCAGTAATAAAGAAGACCAACAGCCACTGCATTTGTGTGCTGTCACACTAACACAGTAAGTCCAATCAGATCAGAGTTCTGCACAGAGCAAGAAGAAAAGAAAAATAGCAGGGAAATTCAACGGGGAATGAAAAGCAATTTTGTCTGAGACGATCCAACTTGACTCCCATTGTAATGACTGAGTCAAATTAATCATCACAAATAATATTCTGGTGTCAGCCATTCAAGGGTTTTTTAATAGAATTTTTATGATTCATGTCTAGCAGTATACATCAAACAGTCAGTTCTGCAACATTTCTGAAATCAATTCAATATCATCTTTGTGTAGGCTGTCATCCTCGGCAGCAGAGTGGTCATTTATCTCTCAAACAGATACTTTTAGAAAATAAGGGGCATGGGGAGATGGAAGAAAGGAGAAAGGATACAGGGCACATTTATTCCCCGTTGTTTCCCTCAACCCTGTTTTAGTATAAAGGTGAGTGTAATGGTCCATTCTGTAATTTTGTGACCATATAAATTACAGGTTTCTTAAGATATATAACTGAAAAGGTTGACTTCCGAATGACAAATGAGCATTTCTTTTCAGCTGCTTGGAATAAAAACAAAATGAGCCTGTTATCCTGTAAACAAAGCTCAATCAGCATCAGAAAATATGTAGTGTAGACTGTCGATGGCTAATATTAGTGTATATTCATTTTAAAGTGATAAACCCTTGTGATTCTGCCTTTTTCTTCCCATTTGGGAAGTACTTTAAGGCACAGATTGTGCCTTAAAGTACATGGTAAGGGACAATGTTCTTTTTTACAGCGATGGCTTTCAGCAGGATTAAAATGTATCTGATGACTTTTAAAGGAATACCAATGTAAGGCCGTAAGCACAAAGCCAGATGAGAGGAATTTCATTAAGTTGCAATACCTAAAACACCCATCTTTTAATATGACCACAAAAAGGACATTAGCAATGTTTTATTGTGAAGCAAGAATGTCGACACAGGCTTGAGCGTTTAAAGCACACTTTCATCTTCCTACACGTTATGCCCAATGATGAAAAGAAGAGAGAAAGAAGTTTGATTTCCTCAATTTGATTTACTTTGTCCTGACATAGCCTGCAAGCCAAGCTGATATTCATTTTCTGGACTGTCCTTTGAAGACAGATGTTTCTGTAAACCTTTGGGGATAACGTTATTGTTTGGTCTAATGGACAAGAAAACGAACATTTCCTGAGATTCAATTTCCCTCATAATTGTTGGAAGGAAACTAAATTGTCTGCTGTAAACATTGGCGACATTGTGTGAAGTGAGTCCCCGTACGCGTCCCTCGGAGCCTTCACGTCGCCATCATCTTTTACCGCGCTTCACCACGAACGTAGGTGACCACCATGTAATCTAAAGCCCGCTGCACTTAGTCATCCAGCGTGTTCATCAACCTTTTGTTTTCTCAGTGTATAAATATAATTCCACGCTACAGGAGCATTTTTCTGGACCTGTCTGTTGCTTTTGATGCAAAGGCCTGAGGACTGAGCATGTCATGTGATTGCTGGGAGGGCTCATCCAGTGCCCTTGATGATAAAATGTAAATACCAAGGACGTTCCCAGTTGGATTGTGGCAAGATAAATTATTCATATGTCTCTATTCAGAATGAGCTTGCATGTACAGAACCACATGTACACTCTGGCTAATGTATACTCTTTTCTCCTTTAAAAGTTAAATCTAAACAAAGGCAATGTATTTGATGGATCGTGCAGACCAGCATGTGTCCTAGTATGGAATTGGCTTTTCAAACAAAAGCCTCCTCTTTTCTTTTTTCTTTTTTTTCCTATGAGGTGCTCGTCATTGGTTTACGTTCAATAGTCAGGAACGCACACTCCTACCAAAAGCTGCATTACACAGATTCTATTTTCTCACTGAAACATCCTTTATTTTCCTCCTCTGATCAATACCACACACTATAGGGAACATTATTTCCAATACACAGTATGCTCAGGCTGCACAGTGAGCCAAACACAATCTGTAACATTTTAATTAAGAGACAGATCTCTCGACTGTAAGTGTTACATACCAGCACACCTTTCATTTGAAAGAAACAGATGAATAGACAGTTGGTCTGGGACTGAGAGAGAAAATAACATTGATTGGGAAGCTTTCCAGCTTGTCTTTTATTTGGCACAGATCTCTCCCTCCCTCTCTAACACTGTCTGAGTATTCAAGGCCTTCTGGAGATGATATTGACTGTGGCTAATGGCTCATTATCTGTACATTCTTCTTTTTATTACATTATTGTTGTAATGCCTGTAGAAATCTGGATTTGGAACATAACCCAATTAACATTAAAATGTACATTAATTCTGTAAAATGATTCACTGTCAAATATAATTCATATGTAAGATATATAAGCAGCATGCCTTTAATATTTGTAAAACACTACATGATCTTGGCATAATGTTGTATTTAGAGCGGAATCGATTAGGCGATTAATCAGCAATTATTTCAATAATTTTTTCATCATTTAAGATATTTTAGAGCAAGAACTCCAAATATTCTTTGCTTCCAGCTTCAAAAATGTCAGCATTTTTTGTGTTTTAAATCATTTTAAACTATTTGTTGGTAGGACAAAACCAGACTTTTTGATACGTCACCTTGGGCTCTGAGAAATTAGGTTTTTTTTCACCCACTACTTTTTCACAATCGCCGGACTAAATGGTTAATCAATTAATCAAGAAAAGCAGCAGATTAATCTCTCTCTTAAAACAATCCTAGTTGTATTATTTGCCGGTTTGCTAGTATTGTACCTATATGGAAGAGGATTAGGGCCACATATGATGTGATCAAGTGTTTGAGTTAGATTTAAAGTTAGTATGACTTTAATCTCACAATTCAACTCCATTTTTCACATGTGGCCCTAATCTTCTTCCATACACCTAAAAAGGAACGTCATAATACAAACATTATTTGGCAAGCGGCTACATACACTGTGAACATTTCCTCTTAAACACAATCAAGCTAGACATCAAGTCACACAATAAGAGTATAACTGCATAAGTATTTTCAAGCCAGTTGCCTCACGTGCCACACAGACGCAGAGTTTGGAGTCAGCGTTTGTTTCGGTGAGAGGGTGGGGCCGACAGCTTGGAGACAGACAGTGACAGATCTGCCTAACACTAATGTGCACTTATCTGCCTATTGGAGAGCTTTTGTCACTGTGCTGATTTATGCTTGAA